GTTTTTTTTTTTAATTTCCCCAGACAGTTGTCTTCCTTTGTAATCTTATGTATTTTGTCTTTTCATTTAAAATCATTCTGAGTAGGTGTCCATAGGCTTCACCAGAGTACCAAAGACATCCATGATACACAAAAGTTAAGAAAAACCTTATAGTGTTGCTCAGATCAGTGAGAAGTTGAATGACTTCACCAGGGTCACATAGCCAATACGTGTCAGAAACAGAAATTGAATCCAGGTCACTCTGACAGAGAGGCCAGCTTGATATACACTATGCAACTTTACTTCCTGCTTTATGCATACTAAATAGAAAGTAAATGTTTTGTTTTATTTCAGTGGAATTGAATTATGACTGGAGGAATCCTGAACAAAACTTCCCTGGACTGCAGCCATTATAAAGTCCCTCTTATGAATAAGGCATGGTATCTCCCCTGTCTAATTATAAAGATTATTTTGGGGAAAAGTAAACATTTAGCAATTATTAGTCATTTCAACTTTTATGAGTTTTTTTTTAAATTTTATAGGAATCATAGAGTGAGATCCAGAAGAAATAAGAACAACACTGATACATTTTGATAGGAGAAAGAGGAGACAGAGATGTGAAGCACAGGGCCTTCTTCAAACTGGGCAGGCTAGACACAATAGAAAAGTACAGGGTTCTGAACTGCGAGGGGGTAGCCTGAAGGCTCTAGGCCTATCTGAATATGCCCACCCAAAGAGCATCTCTGAAAGAAGTCAGGCAGCAGAAGTCAGAAACACCACAGCCAACCTTATGGGATTAAATGTCAACCTCAGCAGAGTTAGTTCTAAGAAAAGATAAACAAAACTAGGTTGTGTCCACATTTGTAATTTCTCACCAGCGGGCAACATATATTACATGGGAGTTACAGTGCAGAACTGGGCCCCCCTAAGGGAGCCAGTCCAGAACTGGCTCGATTTGGGGGTTAGGGGAATAGAATTATGTGCCTTTCGAAAAGTAGGTGTTCCCAAGGGGTGCCAATCAACTCTGACTGGTCATCACACTGGAAGGTGGGCTACATTAGAATGAAGGTCTTGGGGTCACTTAATCAGAGCCATTCGATTAGTTCTTAAATGTCCTCCTAAAGAAGAAACTGAACTTTAAGAAAAGGAGATGTGAGAAGCTCTGAGTCTCCAAGATGATGATTACTAAGAAAAATCTTTGTTCACATTCCTCCATCTGATTCTATTGAGAGGCATAGCCCTTTCAATGAATCACTAACTGACATGGTCAACACTTCATCAAGGGTTTTGGGACTTATAATGGGTAACAGTATGGGAGGGAGGAAGGAAAAACTGATCGATGCATTGACAAATCAAAGGGGGCAGTCCCCTTTTAGTAAGTAGACAATACAGAAAAAGACTCAAGGAGAAAAAGTAAGCAATAAATAAATTGTCCATTTAACACTCAGGAGTCTCATCTCATACAGCTGTCTGGTTTTGGGGGACATCATCTGATGAAATTTTCTGGTCAGAGTGTGGTTTAAGCAGTCTCCAGTAGGCTGTCTTCTTAAGACTCCTTGTAGAGTGATCCTCTTTCCTTGTTAAAATCTCCTACAAAATTGATCTTAACACCATTTTAAACTACTTTTCAAATAACCAGGCCAAATAATGAAAGTTAATTCAACTCTTATGTCTCTATTATAAAATCAGAATTTGAAACCTTGGCCAATTGTTATGTTGATATATTTAAGAAACTCAAATAAAAACAGAAAACTAGAATCTGTTTTTTATACTTCACATTAATTCATTTCCCCCATTAGGAGGATGAGATTCCACTAAGGAATTAACAACAGACTCCAATACATACATAAATGCATTGAGTAATCCATTTTAAACCAGTACAAATCAAATAAGTTATTTATAATAAAGCAATTCCAACTTCTAGCCATGTTCAAATAAATAACCCCTAATTAAAGGGATGCTTCTTTTAAGATAGACCATAAGTCATTCTTCTTTTGAAACTATTTGTACTAAATAGCAATCATATCCTGGTTTCACAAGTCCTTGACCTAATTATCTCCATGCCATTCTGAAGAATTAAAGGACCCTAACTTATACAGGAATATACAACGTGTAACAGATTTCAAGACTAAATAGCTAGTCGTTTGGACTACAATTCTAGGCCAAATAGCTCAATCTTATACTTGCATCTTACTACAGGAACTCAGATGTCCTAGTATCAATCTATTATTTAATAGATTTAATACTGTTTACAAAACTTTTTGATTACAGAAATTTGCCATAAAGGAATAGGGGCATAACTGTAGTAAGGGAACAATATTTCACTAACTTCTTGTCAATTCCAGGCAGAAGTTATGTAGATGGCCAATTGCATTGAGCCAGGCTTAAAGTCTGCCAGGTGGATTAGTGGGGAAATTGAGTCTGGAGAATCCTACCTCAGCTCATGCAGGACAGTCCTTCTCCCAACTGTTCCCATGACAGCACCCTCTGCAGTTCATAGACCCCCACAGGGTTGCTGGCAACATGGATCATAGGCTCAATTGTATTCCTTGATAATCATACCTGGAGTCAGACTCAGAATAATGTCAGTTAATAGTCCTATAAGGTCTTGAATAGCAAATTCCAACAATCAGAGTTCCAGATATGTGACTATAATCTCACATTGGGAATAGAAAGAGATTTACCACAGAAAAATACTACTACTCTCAGAATCCCTTTAACAATGGGAACATTTTTAAGGTGAGCCTTAAGTAGTCTGCGTAAACATTCCTACACATGTACTAGTTCCTGATTAAATAACAAGAGTAAAAACAACAGTTTTTAAGTAACAACAAGAATAAATCAAATTTCTTATGAAGATAACGCGAGCTAGTTCATAAATTACTACTCTTAATAGATTTGCATCTCTGTTTCTCAAGCTAATAAACTTACCCTTTTCTAACCATCGTCAATCTGAAAGAACGAGATACTTCAGGAATTATATCTTATATGTATGATAAATTCAAACACTAGTTTCAACTCTTGCTAGACTGTGAAATGAATTCAGATCTAAACAGCAAGATCTTTCCCGCTTACAGCTCATTACAGTAGTCAGATGCTTTTGTATGAATCACTAGCCTTAAATCTCTGATGCTGCTTCCATTGAGCTGCCAACTCTGTCTCTCTGAAAACACCCGTAGAAGGCCAGTCCAAAGGAAACAACAAACCTAGGAATGCAACTCGAAAATTTACAGTAGGTTTGGACATAATTTTTATCAATATCAAATTATTATCACAATAAATTAGTTTGCAAATGAAATTTAGTAGGCCTTCTAAAAATCACACAAAAGATGTTGCAAAAGATTTCTTCATAAAAGCATTTCCCCTTCTTAAAAACAGCTTACAATTTTTCCTGATGTTGATGGGGATGAATTTCTAGTCACCTAAATTCTCTAGTCAAAAAAGTGTGTGCACTGAGGACCCATTTACTCAGTAAGAATTCCACAACCCAAAACTCTTGCACAGGATTGATAAGGATTACAAAGGAGATTTTACACGGTCTTTTCTTTCTATAATTACCAAGTTTCCTTTCACAAAAATACCTTTGTAAGTTCTTGATTTAAACAGTAATTCCAAATAGCTCAGCTAACAGTCTTAATTTTCATAAGTGAGAGACAAATAATTTTAGTTAAAACTTCCCTTTTAAATATAGACAAAACTTAGACATTTATGATTTCTTAAACTACAGTACTTCAAAATCTTACAACACATGCTCAGATAGAATGACTTAACAGCTTCCTAAAACAGCTTTTCCACTAATTTTTTTTTCTGACAGTACAATTCTTAATCTAACAACATCTAGATTTTAAGAGAAATCGCTTTTCTAACAACATAACAAAATTTAGAAATATGGCAGTACCATAAGCAATTATCATGTACTTAAACTTGAAACAAAACCAATTAATTACTAATCTGGTGACCTTAATTTAGTTGGATGTACTTCCAAATGGCCAGGGGCCATAGGGAGGTAAAACAATGGAGGGGAGATTGGGTGTAGCCACAATGAAAGACCAGTTGATGGGATTATAGCCTCAGGGGAGTAGCAGAGATTTGGCCATGTGGGAAAGTCCAGGGTTTTTCCTTTCTGGGGTCCAGATCCCAACCCCATCAGAACTAGACCCCCTTAAGGAAGCCAGTCCAGGACTGGCTCAATTTGGGGGTTGGGGGTAGAATTATATGCCCTTGAAGAATAGGTGTTCCCAAGGGGTGCCAATCAACTCTGACTGCTCAACACACTAGGAGGTGGGCTATATTAAAATGAAAGTCTTAGGGTATGTGACTTAGGTCACTTAATCTTGGTCAAAGAGATATCAATTTCTATATCACCTGTCTTGACAATAGGGAAGAAATCAACATTTTCCCAGACCTGTCTGGGCATCACAATGAGCAGGAATAGAGCTATTAGATTAGATCTTAAATGTCTCCTGAAGAAGAAACTGAACTTTAAGAAAGGGGGATGGGAGAAGCTCTGAGTCTCCAAGATAAGGATTACTAAGAAAAATCATTTTTCACACCACCTCTATATTGTGATTTCTAGTGCATTGAGAAGGTCATTTCCCTCTATAGCACTCCCTCATTTACCCCCTGATGCTTTCAATTCTTCTAGCAATACAAAGCCTTTTATTTCAAAGAGACAAGGCCTAAAATGTCAGTATCAAAGGAGAGGAACATATTTAGGGAAATTTATACTAAGGTATAAAAGACTAATAACACAAGATATTATAGTAATAGGGTGTAAATACCTAATCCTGAGATTAGATTTTGATAGGAAGAAAGGAAGACAACCTAAAGGTACAGAGTATGTGTATGAACTAAAATTGCAGACTTGGGGATACCCCAGACAGACTTCCCTTACTTTATTTTTTCCTTAGGCCCAGTATAATGATGTTTTGCACACATTCATCATTCAACCAATGTTATGAACTAGCTAGCTAGTCTTGATGTAAGTCTACCAATGATGACTACCATTATTTGCTTCTCAGGTGAATGATGATCAAGCAGAGATGGCTGTCAGCACAACTGGGTGTTACCGTCAGGGGCCAGTCAAACTACCTGCAACTCAGAGCAATGACAACTGCTCATCAAGTGAGTATCACAAGGTTGCTCACTTCCACCTGACAAGCACAAGTACTTATTCCTTACCTAGTTGGGTTCAGCCATAGACCAGAAGCCTTGTAGGGTGTCCCATGAAGAGATCAGGGCTGCCCTGCATCTTATTGTTAGCCCCGGTGACCCTCAGAAATTCATCAAAAATTTTATTTGAATTGGAACAGGGTCAAGAGGAATAGTGAACTGTGCCACAATAGTGGACACAGAAAAAGATGCTGCCATAGAAACAAATGAAACTCATGGAACAAAAGAATCCTGAGGTGCTTTTTAATTAGGTAAATCATGTGCCCTGAGCACTTTTCTATTATTTGATGAAAGGGCAACTGGCCCTGGAATACGTATTTCAAGAGATTGGTCTACTGGTAAGAGCCCAGTGATCATTCGGATGGTGTGGTTGCTGGCAGACACAGTCAATGTAGCAAAGACCATATTGGATCCATCACTCATCACCCCCATCCTGAATCTCTGTCACTATACTGTACTATAGCCAATATCTTTCAATATTCACCACGGGTATAGCACTAGAGACTTTTTGAAGGCTTTGCTAAAATCTAGGTAAACTCTCTCCACATAATTCCACTAAGCTACGAGTCTAGTGATTCCAGGAAATACAGTTAATCTGGTATGATCTCTTGGGTTTTTTTTATAATTTGTGTTGATACATTGTTTTTCTTTTACCTCATATTCACACATACACAGACACATCTAAACACACATACATAGGAATACACACACATAAATATATATATTTTCATGTATGTGTATGATATATGGAGGTTTTAGGGGTACAACCACTGCAAGATTCACAAACTGACCAAAAATAATATACGTTATAATAAAGAACCCATCCAGGTTATATAAATGTTTGTTCACGTTAACAAATGAACTTTGCTGTGGGGTATGATGGTCAGAAATAGTGGCTTCACCTTTGTTCAGTTTTCTGGGGTATTGCATCTTGTTTTGCAAGAAAAAGAAAAGGCTTAAAATTTCTGGACCATCTCATTTTAAGCACAAGATTCATAGTGGGTTTCATCCCCAAGAATAGGAGTTCACAGGACCCCTACTGCCATGGTGCATCATGTTTTCAGACACAGTGAATGTAGCAAAGCCCACTGTGGACCCATTATCTGTCACACCTGTTCTGAATCCTTGTCATTATAATATAACATAACATAACCTATATCTATCAGTAGTCTCCATGGGCATAGGACTAGAGATGTTTTCAATGCTGTCCTAAAATCTAGCTAAACTCTTTCAACTTAATGCCCCTTATCTAAAGTATATTGATTCAAGGAAATACAGTTATTCTGTAAAATCTGTTGCTTTTTAAAAAAATTGTATTGCTGTATTTTTTTCTTTTAAATCACATTCACAAACACACAGAGAAATCTATACATACAGAGGAATACACATACAGAGACATATATAGATTCATATGTGTATGATATGTAGAAGTGTTAGGGGTACAACCATGGTAAAATTCACAAACTGATGAAAAAATAATATATTATATGTTATAGTACAGAACCTATCTAGGGTATATAAATGACTGTTCACTTCAACATTTGTCCTTTGCTGTGATGTATGATGGTCAGAATCAATAGGTTCTCCTCTACTCAATTTTTTCTGGTGTGTTGCATCATGTTTCGCAAGAAAAAGAAAAGGCCTAAAATCTCTGGACCATCTAATTTTGAGCACAGAATACATAGTGGTTTTTATTACCAAAAACATAAGTTGACAGACTCCCACTGCAGTAGTGCAGCTTACTAGCAGACCCAGTGAATGTAATAAAGCCTATATTAGACCCATTATACCTCACATCCATTCTGAATACCCATAATTGTACCATACTATAGCTTGAATCTCTCAATATTCTCCAAGGGTATAGCACTAGAGATTTTTTGAAGGCTGTGGTAAAATCTAGGTAAACTCTCTCCAAGTAATTAGCTTGATCTACCAGTCTAGTGATTGAAGGAATTATGGCTAGTCTGGCATAATCTGTTGTTGTTGTTTTTTTAATTTGTATTACTATATTTTTTCTTTCACAGCATATTCACAGAAAGACACATTAATATACACATACATAGGAATGCAAACATATAGACATATATACTTTCATGTATGTGTATGATACATAGATGTTTTAGGGTTACAACCATTGTAAGATTCACAAACTGACCAAAAATAATATATTATATGTTATAATACAGAACCTATCCAGGGTGTAAAAATGTTTGTTCACATTAATCAGTGGCCTTTGCTGTGATGTATGACAGCGAGAAACAATAGCTTCACCTCTATTCAATTTATCTTGGGTGTTACGTCCTATTTGGCCAGAGAAAGACAACGCATGAAATCTATGCCCTGTGGAATTTTCAACACAGAAGACATACTGAGTTTGATCATCAAGAACACAACATTCACGGGACTCCAAATGCAGTGGCACTGCTTTCTGGGAGTCATACTGAAGGAAGAAAAACCAATATTGGACCCCTCATCCATCACGCCCATTCAGAATCCCTCCAATTATACTATACCATAGCCTATATATCTTAATATTCTACACGGCTACAGCACGGGAGACTTTTTCAAGTCTCTGCTAAAAATCTAGATAAACTCTCCACGTAATTACACTGCTCTACCAGTCTAGTGATTCAAGGTAACATGGTTAGTCTGGCATAATCTCTAGGGCTTTTTTATTTGTACTGCTGTATTTTTTCTTTCACCACACATTCGCACAAACATCTATACAGATGTATACAACACAGACATATATACCATTCTGAATCACTGTAATTACACTATACCATAGCCTGTATCTCTCAAAATTCTACACAGGTATAGCACTAAAGACTTTTTCAAGACTCTACTAAAATCTAGCAAATTCTTTCCACGTTATTACCCTGATCTGCCAGTCTAGTGATTCAAGGAAACATGGTTAGTCTGGTAAAATCTGTTGGGCTCTTTTATTTGTATTGCTATATTTTTCTGTTACCTCATACTCACACACAGGCATCTATACACACATACATAGAAATGCACACAGATAGACATGTATACTTTCATGTATGTCCATGATATATGGATGTTTTAGGGTTACAATCACTCGAAGATTCACAAAATGACCAAAAATGATATATTACATGTTATAATCCATAACCTTTCTATGGTATATAAATGTTCTTTCACATTAAGAAATGGGCTTGACTGTGATGTGTGATGGTGAGAAACAATGGCTTCTCCTCTGCTCAGTTTTTCTAGGGTGCTGTGTCTTGTTTTGGAAGAAAAAGCAAAGGCTTGAAATCTCTGGACCATTTAATCTGAAGCACAGGATTCATACCGAGTTTGATCCCCATGGACGGAAGTTCCCAGGACTCCCACTTCTGTGGTGAGCTTGCTGGCAGACACAGTGAATGAAGTCAAGTCCATACTGGACCCTTTGTCCTTCACACACCCTTTCTGAACCCCTGTCATTATACTATACTGTAGGCTCTATCTCTCACTATTCTCCATGGGTATAGCAGTAGAGACTTTTTCAAGGCTATGCTGAAATGTAGGTAAATTCTCTCCACATAGAAAAGAACACACAGAAACATATACATTCATGTATGTGTTTGATATATGAATGCTCTAAGGGTATAAACATTGCAAGTTTGACAAACTGGACAAAATGCAATGTATTACATAATACAAAAGCTACCTAGGGCATAGAAATGTCCTTTCCCATTAAGAAATGGGCTTTGTTGTGGCATGTGATGGTGAGAAACAATGCCTTCTCCTCTGCTCAATTTTTCTTGGGTGTTGCATCCTGTTTGCCCAGAGAAAGACAAGGCCTGAAATCTCTGCCTCATGGAATTTTCAACACAGAATACATACTGAGTTTGATCATCAAGAACATACATTCACAGGACTCCTACTGCAGTGGCACAGCTTGCCAGAAGCCACCATAATGGAAGAAAAGCTGATATTAGACCCTTCATCCACTACACCCATTCTGAATCCCTCCAATTATATTATACTATAGCATACATCCCTCTATATTCTCCACCGGTATACCACTGGAGACTTTCAGTGCTCTGCTAATATCTAGGTAAACTCTCTCCTTGTAATTACCCTGATCTATCAGTCTAGTGATTCAAGGAAATTGGCTTAGTCTGGCATAATCTCTAGGGCTTTTTTATTTGTATTGCTATATTTTTTCTATTGCCTCATATTCACACAAATACATCTGTACAGATACAGATACAAATGAATACACATAGACATATATACATTCATGTATGTTTATGGTATATGGATGCTTTAGGGGTTCAACCATTGCAAGATTCACAAACTAGCCCAAATAAAATAACATGTTATGATACCGAACCTATCTACGGTATAGAAATGGTCTTTCACATTAACAAGTGGCCTCTGCTGTGGCTGGTGATGGTGAGAAATAATGGCTTCTCCTCTGCTCAGTTTTTCTAGGTTGTTGCATCCTGTTTGGCCAGAGAAAGACAAGGCCTGAAATCTCTGCCCCATCGAATTTTGAGCACAGAATACATACTGAGTTTGATGATCAAGAACACAGATTCATGAGACTGCCACTGCAGTGGCAGAGTTTGCTGGAAGACACAGTGAAAGAAGAAAAACCGATATTCAACAATCACATCCATTCTGACGCCCTATAATTATACTATGCTATAGGCTATATCTCTCAATATTCTCCACTGGTATAACACTAGAGACTTTTTCATGTCTCTGCTAAAATCTAGGTAAACTTTCTCCACGTAATTACTGTGATCTACAAGTCTAGTAATTCAGGGAAATAGGGTTAGTCTGGCATAATTTCTAGGATGTTTTTATTTGTATTGCTATATTTTTTCTATTACCTCACATTCACACAAACACATCTATACGGATATACATACAAATGTATATACACAGACCTATCTACATTCATGTATGTGTATGATATATGGATGCTTTTGGGATACAAACATTGAATGATTAAAAAACTGGCCAAAATACAATATATTATATGTTATAAAACATACCCTATTTAGGGTATAGAAATGTTCTTTCACATTAACAAGTGGCCTTTGCTGTGGCAGGTGATGGTGAGAAACAATGGCTTCTCCTCTGCTCAATTTTTCTAGGTTGTTGCATCCTGTTTGGCCAAAGAAAGACAAGGCCTTGTGGAATTTTCAACACAGAATACCTACTGAGTTTGATAATCAAGAATATACATTCATGGGACTTCCACTGCAGTGGCACAGCTTGCTGGAAGATGCAGAGAAGGAAGAAAAACCATTATTGGATCCTTCATCCATCATACACCTTCTAAATTCCTCTAGAGACTTCTTCAAGGCAGTGCTAAATTCTCGGTAAACTCTCTCTACATAGTTAACCTGATTTTCCAGACTAGTGATTCAAGGAAATATGGTTAGTCTGGCATAATCTCTTGGGTTTTTTATTTGCATTGCTATACTTTTTTCTTTTACCTCACATTCCCACACACCCATTGATACACACATACATAGAAATGCACACATGGACATTTATACATTCATATATGTGTATGATATATGGATGTTTTACAGGTACAACCATTGCAAGATTCACACACTGGCCAAAATACAATATATTATATGTTATAATATGGAACCTCTCTAGGTTATATAAATGTTCCTTCACATTAACAAATTACCTTTCCTGTGGTGTGTGATGGGAAGAAACAATTGCTTCTCCTCTGCTCAGTTTTTGTAGTGTGATACATCTTGTTCAGTCAGAGAAAGACAACCCTGAAATCTCCGCCCCAATCAAATTTTCAGCACAGAATACATACCGAGTTTGATCATCAAGAACATACATTCACGGGACTTCAACTACGGTGGCATAGCTTGCTTGAAGGCACAGTGAAGGAAGAAAAACCGATATTGGATCCTTCATCCAGCACACCCATTCTGAATCCCTGTAATTATACTGTACTGTAGCCTATATCTCTCAATATTCTCCACAGCTATAGCACTAGAGACTTTTTCAAGGCTGTGCTAAAACCTACATAACTTCTCTTGACATAATTATCCTGATCTTTCAGTCTAGTGATTCAAGGAAATGTAGTTAGTCTGGCATAATCTCTTGGGTTTTTTTCTAATTTGTATTGCAATATTTTTTCTTTTACATCGTATTCATGCACACAGACACATCAATACACACATACACAAGAATGCAAACACTTAGACATATATACTTCATATGTGTGTATGATACATGGATGTTTTAGGGGTACAACCATTGCAATATTCACAAACTGACCAAAAAATAATATATTACATGTTATAATACAGAACCTATCTCAGGTATATCAATGTTTGTTCACATTACTATGTGGCCTTTGCTGTGGTATATGATGGTGAGAAAAAATATCTTCTCCTCTACTCACTCAGTTTTTCTTGGATGTTGTGTCCTGATTTGCAAGAAAAAGAAAGGGCTTGAAATTTCTGGACCATCTAATTTCAAGCACAGGATTCATACTGGGTTTGATCCCCAAGAACAGAAGTTCACAGGACTCCTACTGCAAGTGCCACAGCTTGCTGGAAGACACACTGAATGAAGCCATGCCCATATTAGACCCTTCATCTGTCCCACCCTTTCTGAATCCCTGTCATTATACGATACTATAGGCTATATCTCAATATTCTCCACGGGTATATCAGTAGACACTTTTTGAAGGCTGAGCTAAAATCTAGGTAAACTCTCTCCATGTACTTACCATGATCTACCAGTCTAGTCATTGAAGGAAATATGTTTAGTCTGGCATAATCTGTTGGGTTTTTAAATTTTTATTGCTATATTTTTTCTCTTACCTCACATTCACACACACATCTATACATACACACATAGAAATGCACACACATAGACATATATACTTTCATATATGTGTAGGATATATGGATGCTTTAGAGGTACAACCATTTCAAGATTCACAAATTGGCCAAAATACAATATATTATATGTTATAGTACAGAACCTATCTATGGTATATAAAAGTCTTTCAACAAGTGGCCTTTCCTGTGGTGTGTGATGATGAGAAAATAATGACTTCTCCTCTGCTCAATTTGTCTAGGGTGTTGCATCCTATTAGTCCAGAGAAAGACAAGGTGTGAAATCTATGCCTCATCGAATTTTCAGCACAGAAGACAGACCGAGTTTGATCATCAAGAACATACAATTACAGGATTCCCACTCCAGTGGCAGAGCTTGCTGGAAGCCATAGTGAAGGAAGAAAAACCGATATGGAACCCGTCATCTATCATACCCATTCTGATTCCCTGTAATTATACCATATTATGCCCTATGTCTCTCAATATTCTCCACAGGCATAGCAGTAGAGACTCTTTCAAGGCTGTGCTAAATCCCAGGTAAACTCTCTCCACATATTTACCCCGATTTACCAGTGTAGTGTTTCAAGGTAATATGGTAAGGCTGGTATAACCTGTTGGGTTTTTTATTTGTATTGCTCTATTTTTTTCTATTACCTCACATTCACATACGCATCTATATTGTTATACATACAATATATACACATAGACATATATACATTCATGTATGTTTATGATACTTGGATCCTTTAGGGGTACAATCATTGCAAGATTTGCAAACTGGCCTAAATACAATATATGTTATAATATATAACCTATCTAGGGTATATAAATGTTCTTTCACATTAACAAATGGCCTTTGCTGTGATATGTGATGGTGAGCAATAATGGCTTCTCCTCTACTCAATTTTTCTTGGGTGTTGTGTCCTCTTTTGCAAGAAAAAGAAAAAGGCTTGAAATCTCTGGACCGTCTAATTTTAAGCAAGGGATTCATACTGGGTTTGATCCCTAAGAACAGAAGTTCACAGTACTCCCACTGACGTGGTGCAACTTGCTGGCAGACACAGTGAATGAAACCAAGCCCATGTTGGACCCTTCATCTGTCACAACCTTTCTGAATCTCTGTCATTATATTATACTATACTCTGTATCTCTCTCAATATTCTCCATGGGTATATCATTTGAGACTTTTTCAAGGCTGTGCTACAATCTAGGCAAACTCTCTCCATGTACTTACCCTGATATACCAGTCCAGTGATTCAAGGAAATATGGTTAGTCTGGAATACTCTGTTGAGCTTTTTATTAGTATTGCTGTAATTTTTCTCTTACCTCACATTCACACACACACATCTATACATATACATAGAAATGCACACACATAGACATTTATACATTCATGGATGTGCGGGATATATGGATGCTTTAGGGGTACAACCATTGCAAGATTCACAAATTGGCAAAAATATAATATGTTCTATGTTATAATACAAAACCTATCTAGGGTATATAAATGTTCTTTCACATTAATAAGTGGCCTTTGCTGTGGTGTTTGTTGATGAGAAACAATGACTTCTCCTCTGCTCAATTTTTCTAGGGTGTTGCAGCCTGTTCAGACACAGGAAAAGAAGGCATGAGGTTTCAGCCCCATGCAATTTTCAACATCGAGTGCACATGGTATTTAACGAAGCAGATCATACATTCATGGGACTACCCCTACAGTGGAGCAGCTTGGAAGAAGACCCATTAAAGGGAGAAAAAGTGATAGCGGATCCTTCATCTGTCACACCCATTCTAAATCCCTGTAATTATACTATACTATACTATGCTATACCATAGCCCGTATCTCTCAATATTCTTCACTAGCACTAGAGAATTTTTCAATGCTGTGCTAAAATCTAGGCAAATTCTCTCCATATAATTTCCCTGATCTACCTAGTGATTCAAGGAAATATGATTCATCTAGCATAATCTTTATTTCAACTATGTATTGATTAATTACATATATGAATATGCTAGATTTCATTTATTCATGTGATAGATGCATGTATGAGATAAAGTTCAGAAACCTATCACATACATATAAGAATGCATATATGTATATGTGTGTGCGCATGCACATATATGCGCATGCACATATATATGCATGACTATGTGTGTGTGTGAATGTGAGGTAAAATAAAAATAGAGAAATTTTTAAAAAAACAGGTCATGCCAAACTAACTACACATATGTATGTATGGATATATGTGTGTGTATTCATCTTCCCTTACCCAGAGGGCCTACCCTCATTATGGAGAATAAAGAAGGATATGAGAGAGAAAGTAGTATAGCAAAGCTTAGCAACAAATCAATTGAGTTCTGAAAGTATATGAAATGTTCCTTACCCATATATGGTACTCCACATCTGTAAAGAAGATAGCCAGTGGCATTTTTCCCCCTTTTCTTCAGAGGTAAAACTTATCCTATAATTTCACAACATTCTGCTTTTTTTTTTCTAGTATTTTTTCTTTTGTAAAAATATCAAAATTAATATTACTATGATTTCTTGTATTGATTTCTGCTGTACTGATTCTAGATTGTAAATTATTTCATGCTGTATTAATTTTATAATTGGCTCTGTATCTACCTGGCTTGAGTTAAGCTCAGGAATCCAGGTGAACTACCTTGAAGTTAGTTTAAAAAGAAATGCTATCTCTACGCAAGTATCCCCTAGGATACCACATGGATGTCCATTTGTTTAGCTCCACGAAATTACAGTCCCCAAAAGATATGTCTGCCCTTTCCTGTTGTGTAGTGAAGAGAGTTTTGAACTCTTCCAAGGAGATGGCGATTTGTTAGCTGTGATGCTCCGATACACTGAAAGACTACAAAATACAGATGGGCCCCATATAAGAATGAACATTCCTTATTATTAGAAATTATTAGAAATGGGCCTTACCTAAATGCCAGCCCACCTTTCTTAGTATAGCCAGTTCTAATGTTCCTGCTCCAATACTACAACCTATAACAGTATGTTCATGAAGAGGATCCCCTCCTTCTCTGAGGGTCGATGGCCTTGCTGACGTTGCTAGTGAACCACTTTGTTAACAGCCATATACATCACTGTTAATAAACTGATGTAGCTCGAAATCTGTACCTCAATCTACCTTTACTATATTTACTCATGATAGTTTCCATTTATATAAGTGTAAATGTTGTTTGCCTGGTTCTGCTTGACTCAATTGGGCTCCTGCTTCATAGCTAAAGTCTGACTGTCAGCTCAGAGGTTATACTTGCAGCAAACTCTCATGGTCAGTAGCTGGACACTGTCTTCTTAAGTGACCTGAGACAACCCAGAGAAAGTGACTTTCTCTACCCCCTGCTGGCCGTCTGCAGACAGATTCCTGATGACCCAAGAAAATACCGAGAGAGAAACATTAGTGATCATTAGATCATATGTGGCTTATATGAACTTCTGTTGTTATTATTCAGTCATTTCAGTCACATCTAACTCTTCATGATCCTATTTGGGATTTTCTTGGCAAGCATACTAGAGTGGCTTGCCGTTTCCTTATCCAGCTCATTTTGCAAAGGAGGAAACTGAGGCAAAAAGGGTTGAGTGACTAGCCCTGGGGCACACAGCTCATAAGTGTCTGAGGTCAGATTTGTACTCAGGTCTTCCTGACTCCCCACTTGGCTCTCTATCCACGCTACCATATGGCAGTACTCTTCCTTGTGAAAAGAATGGTATTGTTGATAAGGTGAGGCAAGCTTGGTAAAGTATTCAAACACAAGTGAATGGATGAATTGATAGAAATATAATTTGAAAGAAGAATCCTAATTGTCTTTTCATAGGGGAAGGGGCAAAGGGAGACAGGGAATAAACATTTATAAAAGTACCTATTATATGCTAGATACTATGCTAAGCACTTTATAGATGTCCAATTTGATCTTCACAATAGTTGGAGGTAGAGGCTATTATTATCCACCTTTGACAGTTGAGCAAACTGAGACAAACCAAAGTTAAGTGACTTTGTCCAAGGTCACACAGCTAGTTAATATATGAAGCCAGATTTAAACTCCTTAAGAGTCCTTAAGACTTACTGAATCAAGGCCCCACCGTACCACCTAGCAGCCTTGCTTTACAATACGGCTTTATTTATTCTACAGTCTTATTAAGTGACTGTAGGTAGAGGGGAAACATAGCCCTTGCCCTCAGGGAGCTTGCAGTCAACCTACTATTGGGTCCTGTTCTTAACAAGTGGCCTTTGTTGTGCTGTACGATGGTGACAAGCAATGGCTTCTCCTCTGCTCAATTTTTCTAGGGTGTTGCATCGTGTTTGGCAAGAAAAAGACAAGGCTGGAAATATCCAGACAATCTAATTTTGAGCACAGGATTAATACTGAGTTTGATTCCAGAGAACAGAAGTTCACAGGAACCCCACTGCTATGGCACAGCTTGTTGGCAGACACAGTCAATCAACCCATAGTGGACCCATCATCCCGTACATACATTCAACTTGCTGCCATGAAGGTACTGTGATAGGGGTGGTCTCCAGTTGACTTAAGATTTCATTTGTCTGCTTGTATTTAATGTTAGCAACTATATTTAAGGACAATTGGATTTTTCCTGGGGCAATTTTTTTGATTTTTAGACGTCAATAAGGAAGAGCCAGAGCACCTTATTGCTGACTCTGCCATCTTGGTTCCTGGAAGTCAAGTTCACATCCTCCTATCTTTCTGACCAGTCTGCAGTCTCCTTCAGTATATCTCCATCCATATCATACTCATTAATTATGGTTCTACCCCCAAGGCTCTCTCCTAGACCCCTTTCTCTTTCTTCACTATCCCCTCTCAACTGGACTATGTTACACTTCTCATGGATTCAGTTTTCACCTCTAGGCAGAGATAACTGGATCTTAATATCAAGCCCTTGTTTCTATCCTGAGCTTCAGTCTTACATCATGAACTGCCTGATGTACATTTTTAATTGCATGCCCTAAATTGATAGGCATCTGAAACTGTCCAAAGCAGAACTCATTATTTTCCCCTAAAAAAATCTATCTCTCTTCTGGATTTCTCTATTCCTATCACAGGAACACCACCATGCTTCTAGTCACATAAGTTTGAAGCCTCTGTGTCATCTGCAAATCTACTCTGACATCCCATATTTCTGATCAGTTGTCAAATCTCGACATTTCCATCTCCACATCTCTCATGTGTGTCCTCTTTTCTCCATTCATACAGTTACTACCTTACTTTAGGGCTTCATCACTTCTCACCTACATTATTAAAATAGCCCCTTAGTCTCCCTACTTCCAGTCACCTCTTACTTACTTACTAATCTCACTCAATAAACTCTAGTAGTTCTCTATTGCCTCTATGATCAATAACGGATTTTTCTGTGTGATATTTAAAACTCTTCATAGCCTGGCCCTTTTCTGCCTCTTGAGTTTTCTTACACGTTGCTCTGGGCCACACACTCTACGACCTAGCCATACTCAGCTGATGCTTCTCACACAGAGGTGTGTTATTATCCTGACTATTCCTCACGCCTAGAATGCTGTGCATTCTTACCTCAAAAACTTAGAATCCTTAGCTCTAGTGTCCCTTTCTGAAAGACATCTTTCCCAAGCCTCCCAAATACTAGTTCCTTGCCCACTAAGATTCCCTTCCATTACACTCTGTAATGTTTATAGACATTTTATCTTAGAAAGTAAGCTCCTTGAGGGAAGGGGCTGTTTTCACTTTTTCCTCTACATCCCCAGCACTTAGCATAACACCTGGCATTTAATCATTGCTTAATATATGCTTGTTAAGTGATTGGTTCTTTAAATAAGTTGCAATGGGAATTTTCAACAGCAAATGGAGCAATGCAGTTGTTGAATTATTTCTAGAAATACTGAGTATTCTTTCCAGATAAATTATTAAATTCAGGCACTTATATTTTGCATCGAAACAGACATATTTAGCTCTCATAATGGAATCATTTTAAATGACCCTCATCATCATCTTTATTTGTGATCACATACAAATCTTTTCTTCTAGGTTTTCATCACCTATTTGTGTACAGATGCTCAATTTTCCTAAATTATTCTATCATTCCAGTTTAATGGCAAATTTCATCTAGACGTTCTTATATCCATATCATAGAGAATAGATTTTTTATACACTGAAATGTTTAAGTTATAATAAAAGTCAATTTCTTTTCTCCACTAAAAGAAAGGATTTGTTTTTTTTAGTTTTGAGGTTGATCTCACATATTAGCAGTGTGATCACTGAAAATCATTTGCCTGACGCAATGTATAGACTACCGAGCATGTATGAAACAGACTCCAGAATAGCAAAGCAACACATTCATTTAAACTATGAAATCATCAACTTCTGACCTTCAGCATGGACCTACCTACATGTAATTGTGGATAATGGGAAAATAGCTGTGAAGTATATTCTTTTCATTTCATTAACTTAGAGTTTTTTCAGCACAATTAGTGAGAGAAAAGGTATTTTACCACTATAAAGTGCTGTTGTCTTATTGCCATTTTTGTAACACTAGCACCAGGTAACTGATATAGATTTCCTTTCAGTTTTCCTAAGAATTGAAGAGTGAATTTTCAAAGGAGTCTAATTGACAATTTAAATTACAAGGATTTTCCTTAGTGAAGAGGAGAAAGAACAAATGGAGAAAACAGACATTCATATGCATAGCAACTGTAGTACTCTAATCTCAAATATCCCTCAGAACCATTTTTAGAGAGTTTCTGTTCACCAATGTCGTTATAAATTGGAAGATCATTTGAGGTATTCTAGTCTTATCAGGGTCATTTACTAGTACCACCAAGGCAAATATATTAACTTTTTGGTATATATGCAAAAGAACAAAGACATTGAGAAGGCACAAACAATCATAAAGAAAGTTTCCCTTCCCACTTTTTCCTTAAAAAGATTTAAATATTTCACACAAAGTATGAAGAACATCCCGTGGGCACTAGAGATATTAATGCAAGGAGGTAATTTTGACTTGATAGGTATTATCTTGGTATGAACAGAGCCATGAATAAAATACAACTCACATGAGGAAAATCTAGGAACCAGAGAGTTGAAGAATGCTGGATAGCATTTTGATGAAGGTCAATGGAAAAAGGAAAACATTGTCATCAGGATGTACACATACGTATAAATATATACATATTTATGCATGTATATGTATATATGTATGTATGTGTAGATGTATCCACCTATGCACATATGCACATACAAACACTTAAACACTTACGTTTTGTGTCACTCAAACACATATATGGACATAGCCAATGTGGGGATTTGTTTTGCTTAACTATGCATGTTTATTACAAGGTTTGTTTTTCTCTTTCTTCCCGCATTGTTGTGAATGAGGTTATGACAGAAAGAAAATGGACTTTACCTAACTGAAAAAAGTAAAAGTAAATTAAAATAGCACTCTAGGGCATCAGATTCAACCTACTCTTCCTCCAAAAATTGCTCTCCTAAAATATGGGGTGAATGTTAGAATATTGACAAATTCTATATGACAAATTCTAAGACAGAGTGAGCTCACTTCCCCCTCCTCCCCAAATATTTCATCTTTTACTCTAGAAATTAACTCTTCTTTGATGGTGAAAATCAGATGCAGAATAATAGTTCTCTCCCTTCATTGCTTCATATTTTGATGGATAAAATTTATTTACTATGTATCATATATATATGTAGGGAGAGAGAGAGGGAAGGAGGGAAAGAGAGAGAGATATGAGTGTATGTCTCGTATACCCAGAGAGTCCATCACCTCCCTGTCAAGAGATGGGCAGCATGTTGTATCATTAGCCCTCGTTAGTCACAGTAAATCATTACACTGATTAGAGTTCTATCATCTTTGAAAACTTTCTCCCTCCAATGCTGTTTTTACTGTTTATATTGTTCTCCTGGTTCTTCGCAACCATGGCTTAAGAATCTATTGGACAAGTCAGCCAAGGAGCAATGAGAAGCTCTACAGAATAAAATTCTTGAAACTCAGAGTATTCATTCCAGTAATGAAAATGGTCCAAAGGGATTGGTGTGAATATGCAAGGAACTCACCAACCAGTTTGAATATTTAAGAGATATGCATCTAAGGGTTAAGTAAGGACTTGATAAATTACAGAGAATAAATACAAACAGCGGTATTATCCTCCATAGGGGCACTATTTTGCATCTGCCACATTGGACTCCTCAGAGGCAAATAATTTAAACAAAGAGTTATTCCTACTGCTATTAATGATAGTAATAATAATAGTAGCTAGAATTTACATAGCACTTTAAGGTTTGCAAAGGGCTGTATATATTTATTTCTTTTTTGATTCCCACTAGAATTCTGTGAGGGAGGTAATTATTGTTGTCTTTTTACATATGAGGAAACTGAGGTTAAGGGTGATTTAGTAACTTCTACAGGGTAACATAGCTAATAACAGAGTAACATAGCTAATAAGAGTCATGGTAAGATTTGAACTCAGATCTTCCTGACTCCATGGCCTGCAATCCAATCCACTGTTTAACCTGATAAGTTGGACTAGGTCATTTCTGAGGTCACTTCCAACCTAAAACTATGAACTTCAGTTGGAAAAGACAAAGGAAAAATGAAAGACAGTTCATTATCTGCTCTAGCTGACCTTCATTCTAGGATTTAAAATGGCAGGTGTCCTTGCTGAGCCATTGTCATTGATCTTTCAATGACTATGGAAAAAATAGGAAAAGTATCTCATGAGTGGAAGGGAGAAAGATAATTTTAAGTATCATAGGTCTTCCAGAAAACACAATGTTAAAGAGCCTAAATACCATGCTGTGGGGAAAAATAAAAGGAAATTGCCCATAAATCTTGAAAACAAATGGCAAAGTAATGAATGATAGAATTCCTCAAATAACCAAAAGAGGAAAACATTAAGCTTGAAACTTGAAGGCATACAGTGATTAAATTTCAGAATTTCAATGCCAAATTACAAAGTTTTACAATCACTCAAGAGAAAAGCATTTAGCTATGGTAGAAAAAATCACTTATAATAACCTAGGACTACTCTCTATCAGATATAAGATTGGAATGATATTTGAAGAAGCCAAGGAAAACAAGTTGCCCTCCAAAATAACATATCTTGCCAAGGGGAACCTAATTATCGACAGAAAAACAATAGACCTTCAAGAGAAGAAAGACTATCATTATTATATTTGGGGGAGAAAAAAAAGGTGAGCAAAGCATTTCAAAGAGATTCTGAGCAAAAAAGGATAGAGAGAGTGGAGATGAATGAAAAGAGAAATGAATAATTTAAGTATACTAAAGGAAACTGGAATAGAGCAGGTTTAACAGGCGAGGTAAAAATTTGGAAAAGACTAGTAACTGGAAAAAAAATGAGTTAGCGAAATATTTAAAAACACATAGAAGGGATTATACAATAGTCCATAAGTGGACGCAGAAAAGCAGGATCATTTTGTTAATACTTAACATCCAAATGTTTAAAAAATGTGTGATAGATGTTCAGTTTCAGAGATAATCTTCTTTTACTTATTAAACTATTCACGTTGGTTAAATTCATAGTAAAGGTGAAAAAAATTTAAAGACTAGGATGCAGTTATTGTAAACAAAACTAATAAC